GGAAGCTGCGCGGAAACTATGAAGGTAGTATAGGGAAAAAAAAAGCCAAAGATAGGAATGGGGTGTAACAGTAACAAAGTGAGAAAAGTAAAGTTGTATAAATAATTGGCCAACGCAGCGACTGCCGGTGCGAAGATGCGTTTTTTGCATAGTTTCCCGCAGATTTTTGTCGCTAACGGCAACGGTTTTTCCTGCAAATGCTTGTAGCTAAAAGAATTGAGACTGGCCGCCAGGGCTGTCTGAAAATATCCGTTTAAAATTTCAGCTTTCTAGCTTTCCTGGTTTCCGACTTAGCGACTTATCCGCAAAAACTTTCATGGGCCCGTACATAGGAAACACCCATACCCGTGGACTGGGCATGAACTCATTAACACCTGCTTGAACGCGGAACATCCCCTCAAAGTTTCAGTCTTCTGGCTTTTCAGGTTCCCGAGTTAGCAATTTACCCGAGAAAAACTTTGATGGACCCGTATGTGGGTGCCACGCATACCCGAGGACTGGGTTTGAACCATTAATACCTACTTGGATGAGGAATGTCCCCTTAAAATTTCAGCTTTTCAGCTTTTCTGTTTCCCGAGTTAGCAGCTTCCCCGTAAGAAACTTTAGTGGGCCCGTATGTGGGGTATTACACGAGTAAGAATGCCCATTTTGGGGATTGGGGACCGTACGTGCATGCAGATTAAGTTCCCGAAGTTCCTGCCCTGTAGCTTTTATAGGTCTTGAGATGAAAAATCGGTACAAAGGCACACACAGGCACGCAGACACACACAGACAATCCCCTCGTCAATATGCGCTTTCTGCATTGTATAGATGCAAAAAACGCATAAAAAAGGAATAACAAGGCATGAAAAGAGTATTTTGAAATGGAAACAGAAGTGCTTGGTCCTTGAAAACAACACTCGCTTCAAATATAATCTGCACTAACTCAAAAACGAGCAAGCATGTGGATGAAATAACAGACTAATTGGTTCATAAAGCTGTTTTAATTGGTTCATAATTGGTTCATAAAGCTGTGTTTTTTTTTAAATAACTTGTGAGGAAAATTCTAACCGATCATTTTCCAACGACGCATCGGATCCTGTAAAATTTCGGCAAGTTTTTCAGGCGGTACATAGAAATTCCCGTCTTCATCCTGGAAGAAATATTGTTATTTTCCAAATTTATATTTATACAAAAAGAAAAATCCATATTCATACTTATATAAGGAATGCCCATTTTTTTGCTTCCTCTCCTATACTCAGCTAATTTATGATGGATTTATTTCCCCAGTTTACATTATCGTTAACCATGCTGATTTTAATTATAGCTGAATTTATCGCTTTTTCATTCAAATTTTTACTCAATCCTAACTCTTCTTCCTCAGCACATAACTGTGGTCCCCACATAAGTCATTTTTTGAAACCTGTTAGTTTTGCAACGTCAATATTTTTGGGTATCACAAAAACCACAAATGCAGGCACAGTACCTGATAAATAGCAATTCGAACAATTGATTCTTCGACT